CACACACACACACACACACACACACACACACACACACACATATATATATATATATATATATATATATATATATACACGTATATATTCCATCAGCATATTGTGGCACGGTCGTATCTGTTCCCCATCAACGTGGATCGAGCATATTCATTCGTCTCTTGTTTGCTCGCACTTTGTCCAAGGTCGAAGGAGTACCTTGTTCTTTTATCAAGTAAAACTGACCCAGAATCGTGGAGTAGTGTTTCACCACGAGACCAGATTCCTGTTTTGGGTAACGTTGTTTTTTACTCACTATCTACGGTTAAATGATCACATCACGTCAAGAGACCCAGGCCAAAATTTCGTAGTGACATTTTACATTCCTCGTTTGCGGTGTGAGACAGTACCCCCATCAATGCATTTTCAAGTTTATTCGTTCCCGCGTTTTTGTCATTGGATACGTTGTTCTTCAGTCACCTTTACGGATTCAGTTCCTAAAGACTTATGCTGATCAAACGCACGCGTGGGAAAATACGATTGTATTCGGCACAATTACTCAATGATGTTCCATCCAATTGTATATTCACTTTTCTACTAGAAGACCACTGAGAATTCGTATTTATTATAGAGCATCACTCATTGCTTTCTTTTCATGCTGCATCTCTACATCGGGTAGCCACAATCAGTTACACACGCACGATAATATATCACGCATCAATTGCAGTTTATCTTACTAGAGCGTTTGTCTCAACTAAAAATCAGTGTGTTCATGTAAACCCTTCTTCCCAATGTGTGAAGCGTTTTCTAAAGCACCATAGGAACAAACTGAGGACAAATAAAGGACATTCTGAACTCTCGATACCCATAAAGCTATCTTCGCTTTTGGTTTCACTGATCAATCGACCTGTTGCCCCTCGTTCGATGCCTCAATCGCAACCGCTCATGATGGTAACTATGATAGCCTTGAGTGAGGAGGATATTAGCCAGTCAATGGAGTTAGGACTCTCGGGGATGAGGCGTTAGGGATGCGCCCTTGCTAATTATTTGGTTGGGTCATATTGTTTGGGGAGAACAGGAAAACGCAAAAACAGAATTGCACAAACAAATGGAATAAACAAAGAGAGGTGTTTTCTGTTCCAATAGCTTCAAAGGTTTTCAACAAATTTTCTGGATACAAATTAGTAACAATAATAATTAGTTCGAGCACGAAAGTCTTTGATTGCTGGAAAGAACACATGATAAACACGTCGATGACCGGAGCGAATCCCCCTTAAAATATCACTGACTAAAATCCAGGGAGAATAGTTTACTTAAAAGGACCGCATTGAAGTAAAACGCTGCATATTTGAATACACTGTATCCCCGCCCTTCGAAAGAGAAACCAGTTAAAACGAATAGGAAGACAAGCGGTTTTGGCGAGTATAATGTTATTGAAACGTTTCGTTTGGTGACTTCAAATGATGTGAAGATGCAGGACGTTCAACACCCACCC